AACCAAATTTTCTGAATATTTCATTATGAGATTTAAAAAAGACAAATAATGTCCAGGTTGACATCAAATTACGAAGACAATTCGCTATCATAAAGTTGGACCCCAAAGTGCTTTGGAAGTTTTTGAGAAGACTATCGTAGAACAATTTTTTAGTTGGTTCAAACACTTGGGAAGATCAACTTGACGCCGTTGAAATTAACAAATATTACAATTATTGCAGCCGAAAAAAAAATGAATTAAAGATTTTCTGTTAAAAATCCAGCAACTAATTGCATAACTATTCCGGCAACATTTGGTGGCGCCATCTGTTATGATATTTTATTTTAAAAATATAAAGTTTTTAAAATAAAATATCATAACAGATGGCGCCACCAAATGTTGCCGGAATAGTTATGCAATTAGTTGCTGGATTTTTAACAGAAAATCTTTAATTCATTTTTTTTTCGGCTGCAATAATTGTAATATTTGTTAATTTCAACGGCGTCAAGTTGATCTTCCCAAGTGTTTGAACCAACTAAAAAATTGTTCTACGATAGTCTTCTCAAAAACTTCCAAAGCACTTTGGGGTCCAACTTTATGATAGCGAATTGTCTTCGTAATTTGATGTCAACCTGGACATTATTTGTCTTTTTTAAATCTCATAATGAAATATTCAGAAAATTTGGTTTTTATTGTGTTGCCAATCAACGGCTAGCCGTCTTATGATTTTTAGATGGAAATTTATTATTATAAAAGGAAAATTGTCGAATAAAACTATTATGTTTTAGTATCATAAAGTACTCAGCAAATCACTATACATATATATATACTTAACACCTTATTATATTTCTCGGCAAGAATAAGGTGTTAAGTATATATATATGTATTATGTTTTAGTTCATAGCTGTTCAAAAAAAAGGGGGTAGAGAGGGCGCCGCCATCTTGGATTGTAAAGTTCGCTGAGGCTAACGGCTCTTTATTGGATTACTTTTATTACGGATCTACACTTCCTATGTAAGTCAACTATATAACGTTTTAAAGCTGAAGTGGTGCACTTTAAAACACCGTTTTAATTTTTAAATTCGGTTGTATATTTCGAGAGTTACGTTTCACTTCCGACCGTGTCCACGTGGTCGGCATTCGGACAACTTTTACTCCGACTGCATGCACTTCCGGTTTGGGATCGTTGTGTGGTTATCTTCGCTATTTCAACGTGGCTCGTATAATGTATTACTCAAGACGTTCCGTTATTTATTTCGTGAAATAACACTACCGTCACTGGCTAAATTTCGGCAGTCTGTTTGGCCGATCCATTAGGCCATCCACCGTGATCTTTATACATCGGACAGGCGACCGTAACATACGTTTTATCTGAAAGTTTCGCTAGTTTCCGTCGTTTATTTTTCGAGTTATCATGTTAGATAACTTTTGGAGGACAAAGGTCGTCGACCTCGCCACGTGCTCTGATCAGCACCCCTAACTGCCTCTAATTCGATTGCTTGTTTGGTTCTCCTGCGTTTATGGAGTCATCTAGTAAGGCCGACATAGCGGAACTTAAATTTTTCTCATATGAAATCCTAGATGAGCTTAAGGGGTATTTTAGTGACAATGGATCTGGAAAGCTAAGTTCAGGCAAGCATCAGGAATACATCATCTCTACTGTCCAGCGAATAATCGACTTATTCGACAATGGTCTTACCGACTTGAAATTTGCCAAGCTCGAGCAGAAGATTGACATTCTGCTTGCCAGTGAACAGAAAAACTCACTTTTGGAGAGCCAGCAAAATATTCTCTCCAAACTCTCTGCCATAGAGGCCCGGACTGACAGGCCTACCCAACTGTCATATAGAGACACTCTTGTCGCGGGCACTACAACCACTCACTCACCTAGGCCGAAGCTGCATAGCAGCAATGTTCTTCTGGTATACAATTCCATAGAGGATAAAAATAGCGACAAAACGTAGAACATGCTCTGCAAGCATATCAAGCCTTCCCAAATAGGCATAGGTGTCAACAGAATCAGGAAAGTGAATAACGGGGGTATTGCTATTGAGCTCAGTAAGAAAGACGATATTAATACTCTCAGCACAGCCATTCAAAAATCTATACCTGAGCTAGTCATCCGCACACCAAAAAAGCGCCTTCCCACCCTCATCCTAGTTTCTGTCCCAAATAATTACAAGCCTGAAGAACTTAAAGAGCTAATATATAATCAAAATGAATCTATAAACACTGTCTACAATAAAGAAAAATTTACAGAAGAACTGCACTTTAAATTCCAAACCAGGAGAAAATATAAAGATTTCACTAACTGGGTCTTAGAAGCTTCACCCACCATCAGAAAACTTATTCTAAAAGCTGGAAAACTGAATGTCGACTGGTCCAGATGTAAAATACATGACTTCCATCCAGTTAACATATGCTATAAATGTTGCAGATATGGGCATACCGCCAAAATCTGCAAGCAAGAGGAACCAACCTGCAGCCAATGCACTGGCAATCATACATATCGGGACTGCCCTAATATAAACAAGCAACCATCCTGCAATAACTGCAAACAGGAGGGATTTACAAACCACTACCATAATGCTCAAGATCCAAAATGCCCAGTGTCTTTCTAAAAGTTAAACAAACTCTCATTGATAGGACTGATTATGGAACTGAATAATAGGACAACCTCAGTATTCTGCAGATTAATCTTGGCAGACGTAAAGATGCCACCTCCATTCTTAACACTAAGCTTTCCTTCCATGACGTCATTCTTGTGCAGGAGTCCTACTGTGTGGGCAATAGGCAGCCTGCCTACCGACAGGCTTCATTACATTAAAAGATACCACCAATTACCCATGGAGCTTTGTCATCATCCCCAACAGCCATCTCTCGGTTTTACATCACACTAACCTCAGTGATGATTACATTATTTGCTTGAAGGTCAATACCAACCTCCTAAGCATCATCATCATCATCAACATCTACTGCCCCAAAAATATGGACTTACAGGACATTCTACATAAACTGAGGTACATTCTCCGTTTGCTTCAAAACAGGCACGTAATCATCTGTGGTGATATGAACTCACACACCCCTGCCTGGGGAGGCAAGGTCCTTGACTCTCGCGGCATACTCTTTGAGGAATTCATGGCCAATTGTGATTTGCACCTTCATAATGCCAGCCCTCCAACCTTCACATCTGCACAGGGTTACTCCTGGATGGATGTTACCACCAGCACCAAAAGCTGCTGTAACCTGATAAATAACTGGACTGTTCAAGAAGAGGATTCCCTCAGTGACCAAGCATACATAAACTTCCAGATCAACCACCATTCCTTTAACTGTCTTTCTGAACCTATCAGGTTTCAGACCTCCAGAGCCAACTGGAACAATTTTGCCAACTACATATCCAATTACTCTGTTTCTCTTGATGTCCACGACTCAGCAGATGCTCGAGCCCGTATCGACAAGAATATCAAAATAATCTCTGATGCATGCAACAGCACCATTTCAAAGGGCACTAGAAAGGTTAAGAGTGTACCTTGGTGGAACTCCACACTCTCTCAACTTAGAAAAACCAACATCTTGCTTCGTCAGAAATTTCAAAATACTACCACCGAGTCTGAAAGGACACAGAACAAGCAAATTTACCTGGATCATCAGAGGACATACAAAGCCGGCATCAGGGAGGCAAAGCTTTCCTCCTGGAAGGAATACCGTACACAGGTTGCCAACAACCCATGGGGCTTCCTGTCCAAATGGTGCACTGGAAAGCTTAAGGCCAGAAGTGCCTTTACCACCGGGCCTGTAAATGGCATTCACACTACAGATCTACACTCCACTATTGTCGCCTACTTCGATACCATTTGCTTACCAGATGATAACGAAGACAATCCCAGGCATAGCTACATCAGGAATTGTGTATCAGATCCCATTCACACCAACAACAGTCCTCTGAACTTTAACGAGATAGACAAAGTTATCAAAAATCTAAACAAGAGGAAAGCACCTGGGATCGACAACATCACGCCGGAAATGACGCAGCAAATCTGGCATCATTGCCCTGAACACCTAATAGCAATATATAACAACTGCATTCAATGGGGAATATTCCCATGCACCTGGAAAAAGGAAAAAATGGTGCTTATCCCGAAACACGGCAACCCACTTGAAGTTAGGCTCATATCTCTCCTGCCAGTGCTCGAGAAAATTTTGGAAAAACTGGTGGCCAACAGGATTGGATGGCACCTGGAAGCCACAAACAGTCTCCACTCACACCAATACAGATTCAGGAAACAGCACTCTACATCAGATGCCATCAAAAATGCCACTTCCGGCATTAATCAACTGCTTACCAATTACAAGTATGTCCTGGGCATCGGACTTGATATTAGCAAAGCGTTCGACAGTGCCTGGTGGCCACTAATTCTCTTCCAACTGAGGAAATATGGTTGCCCCGCCAATCTATACAATATTGTCAAAGGCTACCTTTGTGATAGGACTGCCACAATACAATCAGGAAGCCTACAGTTCGAGAGAAAGGTCTGCAGGGGTTGTCCTCAGGGCTCTGCATTAGGCCCACTGCTGTGGAACGTTCTTTTCAATGACTTTCTAAACCAGAACTTTGGGCAGCACTGCTCTTTTGCTTATGCTGACGATGCCCTTCTTCTTCTTGGTGGAAAGTCCAGAATCGAGCTTGAACAGAGAGGCGCCACCATCTTAAATAAGGTTGTCCAATGGGGCAAGGACTATAAACTACATTTTAATTCAGACAAGACTAACGGCATAGTATTTAGTAGGCCTGGTAAGCCACATCTTTACAAGCGAGTCCCAACTATCAAGATGGATGGTAGCAGCATTAAGATTACAAAAACAATCAAATACCTGGAGTCCTTCTGGACCACAAACTGTCCTGGGTCCCCCACATTCAGCATATAACTAAACATACTGGACTCATTTTTCATTCCTTTGGCAAGATTGCTAAGTCCAGCTGGGGGCTTAACTCCACTGCTATGAACTTGATATATGACATGATTTTTATACCAATCATTACCTATGCCAGCGGCACCTGGGGCCACGCTATCCACCATTCCCATAATAAACGCAGGCTTCTTTCTGCTCAGCGGCGGGCACTTCTCTACATTGCAAAAGCCTACTCTACAGCCCCCACAAGCAGCCTCCAGGTCATCACAAGAAAACCACCCATCGATCTGTATATTACTCTCTGTACTAAGAAATGGAAAATTAAGCACAAAGAAGAAATCACCATCAACTCCAACTGTATAAATCCCATGGACATTGAGCAAAACATCCCGTACTCTAAGACTATTGATTTTAGCCAAATAATTAACCTCAACGACGACATTCCTCATTCAGCTATTACTATCTATACTGATGGATCTAAGGCTGATGACAGGGTGGGCTGCAGCTTTGTTGTATACACAAATAGTGAGGAATCTTACCACAAAAAATTCAGGCTAGCAAACCATTGCAGCATTATTCAAGCCGAACTTCTCGCAATCCTCGAGGATTTTACTTGGTGCTCAGAGCTCCACAGTCACACTGACATCCACATTATTACAGACAGCACTGCTGCCATTCAGATCATCAGGAACAACAACACCCACCCAACTGCCAACAAAATTAAGAAAATCCTCCTGCGTTCAAGTAATAACTATTATCTGACCTGGACTAAGGCACACCAAGGCACCAGAAGAAACGAATGGGCAGACACTTTGGCTAAGGAAGCCACCACTGACGACAGTCTTCCTATACAGTACAATGCTATTCCCTTCTCACATATTTGCAAAACCCTCTGGGAAGAGCTGCAAATCAACTGGCAAACTGCTTGGGACAAAGATCATAATATTACCACCTATGCCTACCTTCCCAACATCAAGCACAGGAATGACCTAATATGGCTAAATCCTAGTCATAACCTTACCCAATTCTTGACCAACCACGGCCGCTTCAACAGCTACCTCAATCGTTTCGGTTTCCAGGACAACAACCTGTGTGCTTACTGTGGTGTCTGAGATGGGAGTGACCACTATGTTTTTGATTGTCCTATGCTCCTCAGGGTAAGGACTTTCATTATTACAAGCCTTCCAGCTAACATCACCTGGCCCTGTAATCATCATACTCTCCTCAATAGCAAAGAGCTATACGAACTTCACATCAAGCTGATAAATACATACCAGAGGATAACACCTGTTTACGGTTTCACTCCATCTCCTGCTTAATCTATCACCTTGTTTCTGTGTACTTACTGTGTACTTATTTACATGCTCTGTATCATTTTCCATTGTCCTGTACTCCATTACCAACCGCAATTGTGCTATGCGGTATTGGAGATGTACTTTGTACATATGTAAATAAATTGATTGATTGATTGATTGATTGTTCAAAAAGGGTACAAATCACTCAGCCACCCACTAAGTGGCACCACTCGGTAATCCTTGCGAAATGTCTGAGAAGCTCCAGGCCACTTAGTACAGGCCATTCGAAACAGGTAGCTGTCTCTCTCTGCCATACATACGTGTCACTATCGCCCCCCAGAAAGAATACTTTCAAAATTCAAAATATAGATATGAATAGGCACGACTGTGTAACGCCAAACACAGGTGTGACCGAATAATCTGTCTGAAAACTGCCAAAAGACCTTTTTCTCTATGTGAATAGCTAGGTATAAAACTTTACTCAATTTTATCGAACGAAAACATTGATAATTTCTGTTTCTGAAGATTACATTTTGAAAAATACAGAAAAATGTTTTATGTGTAATTCTTTAGTATTCATTATAGTTTACAGTTCAAAATTTATGTGTTTATATAAGAAATTATGTTTTTATTTTGTTTCTTTTATTTCGTTATAAATTTATTGTATTGCTTACTACTAGATTATCGCCTTAAATACCTTAAAACTATAAAACATTAAAATTAATATGTACGCGCTCATTGCTTGAGACAATTACTGGAGGTATTGCAAGTATACTACGTGGACGATTCTTAATTGGCAGCATTTGCATTTTCAGTTCAAACGTTTTTCTTAACGGAACTCGTGGTTTTTACTCCAAAGAAATGGAATATATTGGAAAGTATTTTCATCTCTGTTTATATTGCACTAGACGATCAATGTCGACACTTATCGCTTAATCTCGGAAAGAAACATATCACTGCTTCCACTAGATAAAATGACATATTTTGCGTTCTATAGGTGGGCAAAATGCTATATATATGTGAGTTATCTTGCTTATTAACGCAGCAGTATTGCATTAAAAATTATTGAATGTAACGTCTTTGGTGCTATTTCTTATCTGTCAATTATTTTAAAATTTTTCTAAATATAATTTCGACATGATAAAATAATAGTTAATATTTAACAATTATTTTAATTTTTTTTTAGTTTAAATGTTGTAATATTAAATTATATGATATTCCGCCAAGTCTAGTTTTATCTTTCAGAAAGGCTCTGGCTCTATAATAAATAAGTTAAAAATCAATGTAACGTTACCGAGAAGATGAAATTTGCACTTTAAATAAATAATTTTTTTGTTTATAATAATAAAACATATAGACAGTGTTGCAGTGGCATTTATTATATATAATACAGATACAACGCGATTTTCGAAAACTGAAACTGTTTATCCTTTATTGTTTCTTCCTGTGTGGAACATAAAGAGAAAATATACACCTCAACTGAAAAAATTTCTTAGCTGCTGTATATGGAAATGGAAATAACAAGCGACATGCATTGTTATTGGTAATGTTCCACATAAAAAAACCAAATAATTAACAAACTCATAACAAATACAGAGCATTAATTCTTGTGCGAAAATAGTTTATCTTAATTTAGTTTTTACATTTATTTTGAACCGTAAAATTAAAAAAAAGAAAGGAAAATAAAGTGTATGAATAAGGGTAAACTATTCCTTTATCCAGAAAAATTCTTGTAAGTAAAGTGTAAATTAATAATTTAACTATTTTGAGTTAGTATTACGATTGTAAGAAAATTATTTTATGAAATTACAGTTAATGTTACTAATTTTCAGTGGGATCTAGTGTGTGACAGAGCATGGTTAGTATCTTTTGCGCAACTGTTGTATTTTATAGGATTTTTAATCTCTGTTTTCATTGGAGGTCAATTATCTGATAAGTATGTTTTTATTATTAAGATATACAGTATACAAATATTATACGTATATCTGAATGTATATTTTTTCCACTCACAAATAGATTTGGCAGGAAACCTATGTTCTACTTGTGTTCAGCGTGGACATTCACATTCAGTATGATAAGTATATTTACTTCGTCTTTCTGGATGTTTCTTGCATGTCGATTTTTACTTGCATTTGGTAGGCCAACTTCGACACTAATCGTGTATGTACATGGTAAGCATTTTTTAAAAAATTATTATTGAAATATTGTATAACAATTTTATTCGATTGTTTCAATTAAAAACAAAAAACTTCCTTTTATTCTGTGATGTAGTAACAGAAATTGTTAAAAAAGAACACAGACTGATGGTAGGATTAATGGGTAAACTAGGATATATAATGGGACAACTTATTCTCCCTGGACTTGTTTGGATTTTCAGAGATTGGTTTTATATAGAAATAATATGTGTTTTACCATNACAGACTGGTGGTAGGATTAACGGGTAAACTAGGATATATAATGGGACAACTTATTCTCCCTGGACTTGTTTGGATTTTCAGAGATTGGTTTTATATAGAAATAATATGTGTTTTACCATGTGTAATTTGTATTCCATTATGGTGGTAAGAAAACTCATTTTAAATTAATTTTAAAGAATTAAAGTAATTAATTAAAGGATGAATTGTTTTACTGACAATTTTTTAAACTTTCAACGAAATTTTTTGTAATTTTGTAATTGTAAAGGGTCACTTCGGAATCTCCAAGATGGCTGATTACCCAAGGAAAAATAATTGAAGCCGAGAAAGTAATGAGGAAAGCAATAAAAATAAATAAACTCCAAATTGAAAATTTCGCTCAAAAATTCAAAAATATAACTGAAAAAATTGTGATGGTAATTAAGTTCTAACATATCTTTTTAATCGTGCATTTTAAATGAATATACTGTTAAAAAATAATAATATATTTGCTTGATATATAATTCATTATTATTCATTTAGGAAATGATTAATTTCCTATATATATATTAATAGGAATATATTTGAAATTTAGGAAAGCGAAGAAAAAGGCCAACGAGTGACATTTCTGAATATCATGAAAAATTCTCATTTACGAAAAGTCAGTTTAATATTCTACATAATTGCGTAAGTTGAAAAAAAATCTGGTGTTAATAACCTTGTTAAAATTAGTGAAATACATATTTGAAATTTGAACATTCTTTGGAATTTTATTTTAATTATACAGTCGAACGATTCACTGTTCAAACAAATNGGGAATACTATCCGATCAGTATATACTGGGTAGAACGTCGATGTCGACGTCTCCCGCGCTCCGAAAAGTTTTGAATTGTTGCCTGAAGACAAAGGAAGACCTATCGGTATTCGTTATTTTACGTCTCTTCTTTTTGTGTTTGTTCAGTCAAGTGTTCGTTGTCCGATCATAAAAATCTTTCGCAAAAGTGTTTGTTATCCAATCTGTTCGTTAACCAATCACCCACTGTATTTTGTAAAAATATAACTAGGTAAATAAATAATGATCCATTTTCATCAGTACATCATTCACAGCACTCAAAGAAAAGAATCCGGTCTGACTCAAAAACCTTTTTTTTCTTTTTGATTTCTTTCTGACACTTGGACACTACTGCCTATCTAGTGACTTCTGTTTAATATTTCTTCTGAATTCTCCCATTGAAATACAGTATGAAGTTTATGAAACATTTTATTTAAATAAACATATTGATTCTATCAATGGGTATAAAGCAAATTCCTTTAGTCCCATATTGCACAGTACTCAAAAGAACCCTTCTGCAAGCAGCCTGCATTCACCCTACACTTATCCTGTATTTCAGTACTCGAATAATACCTTATCCTGTACGAAAAGTTTGAATTGCTGTATATTGCAAAAGGGTATATAATACAGGTATACCTCGCCTTACGTCGGTAATTGGTTCCAGGAAAACGACGTAAGTCGAATTTACCTGTCTCCGAATCTACTTATCACTAGGAATGCATTTTAAATAATATATGGTTAATAAAAATCTATTTTAAGCTTACAAACAAATAAATTTTAGTTTTTAATATAGTACAAAAAAAATAATCTAAATTTACGAATGCGTGTACTGTAAATACAGTACATACTTGTATATATTTTAATATGATTTTATGTGCTTTAAACGTTTATCTAGTGATATTACGACTTCAATATTTGTGGCGGACAGACGTAAAGTCGAATAAAATGACTTAAACTTGATTTTTATTTTTCCATATACTTTTTT